ATTCAGATCACTTGAGAGACTTTGGAGTCGGAGCGCCTGACCATCTGCTCTCGTGTTTGGGCTGCATCTTCGCATCGCCCCACAGCGCGCATGTATGCGCACAACGCCAGAGAGCACAATCCAGAAGACAGGGCTTGCTGGACTTCTCGGCTTCGTGAGGCCTTATCGCGGGCAAGGCAAATGAGCTCAGCTACTCGGGATTGAGACGCAGACGCAACATGATCCACATCCAGACCGATTGAGAACATGTTGGAGCTTCAGGCACGAACCGAGTGAGCGCGGAACAATGCACTGGTACACTGGTGCATGGGTAACTATGGGCTCCAAGGCACGATCCCCCTCGGCTCTTCGTGCAGGCGCATTGTGAATATGAGCAGGGCTCCAACATCACCTGGGAGCACGCGAGTGGTTGCAGCGTATGCAGCGAATTCTTGACCTCACGCACGCACGCAGGCATTCGGGCATGAAGCTTACAACACGGCACGTGAACACGCGGGCGAGCACAGGCGCAGCCCAGCACTACACGGACATTGCTAGCGAAATTTCAAGTGAATGGTCAGTGCATCGCAAGCCTCTGCCCGACTCAGACGCATAGGTACCACCTCTCGCAGGAAAGTCCGCAGCTCCCCGCCCCCGACCCCCATGGCGTTCGATGGCCAATCAACAGCGGCGGAAGGGGGGCGCGGCGCACGCCTGGGCCCTCCACTTCGCGGCCATCGCAGCTGGGGCGGCGATTCCTAAAGACGTCCTGGGTTGGTTCGAAGCCCACGCGCCCGCTCTTCAAGAATTTGTTCTCCATGACACTGGCTGCCCCAATTCCGAGCTCCCGACGACGCGCCAGGTTGAGCGGGCATGCAATATTGCCAAGAGGGCAGCTGCAGGGCCTGACGGCATTGCAAGACGCGCGGCTGCTCGACTGCATCGACTCATATCCCGCCTCCTTCCACCCGCCCGCTAATCACCTAGGTCTGCACGAGGGCCACGGAACCAATTCAGCGGCAAGGGGGCTGCTATCAGCATCTCCTTAAAAAGGGCGACCCGGGCAACGGGGGCTGCCACGGGTGCGTGATGTGATCCTCTCCGCTGGCATACAGGTCTCGGGCTCTACCGCGGGCCCATCTTCCCCCCGACCCCCCTCGACGCACCGGCCCCGCGCCGCGCGGCGGCATCGCGCGAGTGGGCGTAGATTGCGCAGCCCTCGAGCTCTGCGTTTCCAGGAGTTGGCCGCCAAGAGCCGCTTGTCTACACTGTTTCTCCCGCGCGACGCGACCCAGGGCTTTCGACGGCGCTTGCGCGAGCTTGCTTTTCGCGCGCCCAACTCGCAGTCTGCGGAGGCCATCCAGCACGTCCTTACCCCCGGAGGCTTGCCGAAGGAAGCGGCATCGGACCTCGCACAGCGGGCGCGCAATGAAAAATGGCTCCTATTTCACAGCGCGCATAAATCCCCGCGCCGCATGCTATGGCAACTGACGCACACTACGCGTCGTGGTTCGTCGCCCCAGGCAGCGCCTCCGCAGCCCCCCCCCCCCCCCCCGCGGGATGGGGCGCAGGACAGCAGCCCGGCGACTTAGCCTTTCACTTCGCCACGGGCTTCACAATTAAATGAATCCAGGGCCATGCGCCCGAACGCGGTCTCGAGCCGCGGCCCCCCGCTCAGCTGGCGGGCCGCGTCGATTGCACAGGAACCTGAGCACCCGGCACGCGCGGCATATGCCATGGGCATGGCTTTCTTTGATGATTCCTTATTCGCGTCTATGGGCCACGCTAAGACCTCGGTCGCCATTGACCCCTTCCTCATAAACATCATCCGCGACTCCTTCGCCGCGCGAGGCACGCGCGTGCACAGCGGGCTCGGCAAGCCGGCTGCTTCGTTTCAACTCCGCGGCCCAAGTTCGGGCGCCGCCGAGCTGTCGTCGCGGAAGAACTCTAGTGGCATTGCCTCTGCCAGCTCCAGAATTGACGGCCAATTAAGCTTGCGCGCTGCACGTCAGCATGCACACTCGGGCACGATCTCGGATGCAGCATGCAGCCCGGGCCCCCACCCCCTCCCCCTAGATCTCAAAGGCGCGGGATCTTGGAAGACGCTCCGCGAGGTGCGTCGGGGGCCCGAACTGGATCAACGCATTGGGGCCGTCAAAGTGGATTCTTACCATATCCGGGCGTCTCTACAATTATAATGCGCGGCCGCCTCTTGCGGTGTCCCAATTGGCTACCCTTCGCGCGCGCGTTCCGAGCGGTACTCGAGCATCCTCGCATCGACGACGCCGCAGCACTCAATGCTTATATCCTAGCGCCCCTCATCAAGGCTCACAGGTTGCGTCTGCTCGGGAGATTGGTTCACAATGGGCCTGGGCGTCTCATGCGGCCCCTTGGTCTTCTCAGGCAAGAAGCAAAAGAGTCTCGGGTGGCACGCCCGGCATCTTGTCTCCTCTGGCTCCGCGACTACACAGGAACAGTCCATGGCCTGCCAGGCCCGCGAGATGACCCTTTACAATGGGAGCCGTTTGCTAACAAGTCGAAGCAGACATGGAGGTTCTCGGTCGCGGACACCTCGCGCAAGCGCGCAGTTTACCAGTCGCGCATCGCAGAGACTGGCCAGGCCGAGGCGGGCATCCTCGCAATTCTGTTAAACGAGTGTGTCCCAAGAGCAATCGCAGCTTCCGTTCATCCTCTCAACGCTCAGGGCCGAGACCATGCACATTCGTATATTTGCACGAGGCCATCGTCAAATTACTCGCGCGCGCGGCATTCGGCAGCACAGCGCTCGCATGCACAGGTCGTTCGCACATGCTATCAGACTGGCTCTCGGGGACACGATTGATTGTGACTATTGCGGCATGCAGTTCGCCAATCGCAGCGCTTTAGTAGAACACTTGGCCCAGGATGCTCCCAAGTGCGCGATCTCCCTCTTGGCGCACGGGGAGGACGTCGGCGGAGATCCCCTCGAGGCGAGCAGGAAGCAGGATCTCATAAGTTCCCCGAACCATTCTGCGTCGACCCAGGCACGAGCCAATCGAGCTGCTGGTCTGGGCAGATGGCGCCCAGAGCTTCCAGCCAAAAGAAAAAGAAGTCCCCCACCAAGCCCCGCACTGAGTTCGAATAGCAGGTTCTCAATTCGATATCTGCGCATGAGGCCAGGGCCGCGCTGGCGACCCCCCGAAAAGGAAAGCCACTGGAGGGCTCGAGCCCATGGGAGACCGCTTCGGGCCATTTCGGCCCGACTTCCAAGGAATGGCCGCCACGCCATCCCCTTCAAAAGTGGTCGGCCGGAGATTTTCATTCTGAACCCTCTATCAGGCATCTAGATGTAGCCTCGCATGGCGATCCGAGGTACAGACTGTTTAGTTTGTCGATCGACATAGCGATCGACGCGACGAGAGGAGATTTGACTCGAGCCAGCGCGCTCGAGACTTGGCCGGAGCACATCCGCAGTAGACGAACGTTGAATACGGGAGGGGGGCACCCCCGCGAGACTTGGCCCACTGCGCGGTGTGATGAGGCCCCCCCCCCTTCGCATTTCCAAGCGTGTTTGGGGCATCCCGCTCTGTTCGACTAGGCAGAGTTTGCAGGTGTCCACTGGGTCGAGTTTGTTGTTTGCCATCACGTATTTGCTCGCCGAATACCTCTGTCTGAGCACAGCTGGGTGGCGTGAGCACCCGGTGCCAGCTACCAGGATCCCCTCTGCTCCCACCTCTTTCCGATGGCCTCCTCTTGTCGCTCTCGCCTCCTCCCCTCTAGCGTCCGCTACAACATTCGATGAATGTGAGCATTGGCCAGCAGCATCCGGTGTGGCAGCCGTGGGCACAGCGCCGACACGCATCCGATCCGTCAGGATGCCAGAGCTCGCGGCCCGCCTGAAGGACACTCCATGGAGAGGAAATTGCTCGCACGAAAAAGGTACACACGCTCCCCTTATCGGCAAAGACGGCGCCGAGTTTCGCACCTCAGGGAACAAGGTTTACCCGACGGGTTTCTGTGAGGCCATCGCTCGTGTTGTGCTGGACCCTGTGGACGTGTTTGTGGCCACAGAGGGCGAGCCAGCGGACTACGATTTGCTTCGAGACCGTGCCGAGGTGCTGGGCTCGCTTCTTGACATGCTTGTGCCGTGGAGCTCCGAGGGGGACTCTCGTTTCCTCGTTCCCTCGGACCCTTGGCGCGAGGCCACAGCAGGCCAAGAAACGCGCCGACCCCGAGCTGCACAGGTTCCACTTGGGGCCAAGTCAGCAGTCTGAAAACGTTTCCCTCGGACCTGACGTCGAGGCCGCCGATGAGCAGCAATCCATCGAGCAACAGACCTCGGCTGAGAAAGAGGAGGCAGCAGCCCTTTTGGCAAGCGGCCATTTTGGCCCTCCCACTCCTTCCCCTTCCTCGCATCCGACGTTGACGTCGTCCGTCGTCACGCCTCCCCCTCCTCCTCCCGCCCTGACAGCGGAGCAGCTCGCTCGGATCGATGCCAATCGAGCTCGTGCCAGGGAGTTGCGAGAGGCTCGGCGTGCTGAGCACGCGCGCAGAGACCCCTGGACAGCAGGAGGCACCCTGCGCGGATCGTTCTTCCCGCAGGCTGGAGTGCCTGCATCCGCAGCGGAGCAGCAGGACGCGGCTTTCGCCGCCACCGCTGCTGCTGCCGCTGCCTTTTTGGGGTAAGGCCTGGACGGTGGCGTAAGCGGTGTACGCGCCGCCCGTCCCAGGCCCGAGAGAGATCGGAGCACGGTGAACCCCAAGCCCCGCGTTGAACAACAACCCCTGCCCTTCTCCCCCCCTCCTCCCCCATCGCCCTCAGGCTGGACACTGCGTGCCGTCTCCTGCTCGGCAGAGCACACCCAAGCGCCTTGTCACATCGCTGCTCCACCCCCCCTGGCGGGAGATGCAGGCGCACAGTGGGGGCCCTCGCGAGCCTCGTGGCGAGAGAGCGCAGGCACCGCAGGATGTCCACGACAAATCGGTGGCTCTCTGTGCTCTGCATGCGGGACGAATCGCGAGTCGAGGAGCAGGGCCTGGCATCACCTGGCGTGACAAAACGGTGGTAGATGCCGCCGCCGGATGGAGAACGGGAAGCTCCAGCGCCACCACCGGAACTCGCCACGCGGCTCGACGACCAAGACATTCGACCCCCCTGAGGTTATGAAGCCGCCTCTCGCCTCTCGCTGCGGCCGAATCCACTTACTTCAGCACGCTGGATCGCTCGTCATCGCCATCACCAGCACCATCAGCATCGTCACCACGATCACCGCCATCGCCATCATCATCATCATCATCATCATCATCATCATCATCATCATCATCAGCAGCAGCAGCAGCATCATCATCAGCAGCAGCAGCATCATCGTCATCATCATCATCCTCGTCATCATCATCATCATCATCATCATCATCATCATCATCATCCTCATCATCATCATCAGCATCATCAGCATCATCAGCAGCAGCAACATCATCCCCATCACCATCAGCAACACCATCATCGAAATCATCATCATAAGCATCATCAGCGGCATCACCAACATCACAATCATAATCAGTACCATAATCATACTCACCATCATCAGCAGCATCAGCATCATGATCATCAGCATCATCAGCAGCACCAGCATCAGCATCAGCATCAGCATGATCCTCATCAGCATCCTCGTCCTTATAATCGTCTTCCTCCTCCTCCTCCTCCTCATAATCATCAGTAGCATCATCAGCATCATCATCAACACCAACATCATCAACATCAACAACACCAGCAGCATCGATATCGTGCTTCATTATCGTCATTATCATCCTCGGATTTGGCATAAGAACATCTGTCTCCGCTTACATCGTAAACCTCATCATGTCGTCGCCCTCGTTCGCGTCCTCGTCAACACTACCACACCATCATTACAGACAACATCGTAGTCGACGTCGTCGTCGTCAATTCCATTACCATCACTATCGTCATCATCGTCGTCATCATCTTCACACACATCACCCCCGCAATCATCACAACCACAATCGTCATCGTCGCCATCGTCAGCGTCATCGTCCCCACCACCAGCATCATCACCATCACCATCGGCAGCAGGAGTCCAGCGTCCAGCAGGAGAGCAGCAGCAGCAGCAGCGGGGAGGAGCGAGGAGGAGCGAGGACGAGGAGTAGCGAGGAGGAGTGAGGGGAACGAGGGGGAGCGAGGGCGAGCGATCAGCAACCAAAAGGCGGGTGCGTTCGAGAGCCGACGGCCACACCCCCAACACCAGCCCCGAGCGCACGGACGAGGGGGAAGATCCACGATGCTCCCTCCTCTGGGGGTCTGGGCTCCGTGGGCCTGAGAACTTGGCCCCCGGGCCTCTCCAAGGAGCGCTCTGACCAGACGTGCAAGGCGGATCCAGCCGCGGCGACGCGGAGGCTTGGAAAGAACAGAAAACTGATCGTATGTATATATATATATATATATGTATAACAACAACAACAACAACAACAACAACAACAACAACAACAACAACAACAACAACAACCACAACAACCACAACAACCACAACCACAACCACAACCACAACCACAATTACAACAACAACAACAACAACAACAATCATTTTACCCGAACGCTCAGTGTTCTCCCCAGTGCCTGGGTTTTCATGCGACGCCAGCCAATACCCCCACTTCGTGGGGGGGCAATGCAAGCTCTACCAAACATCCACACGACTCTCGGGAACCACCCACACCCAGCTTCCCGCCCTATGACGTTCGGACACTTCACTTCGTGGCCTGCGGACGACCGTGGCTACTACACTGGCGTGGAGTACACACCCACAGAAGTTGTTAAGCTACGTTCGTACACCCACAGGTGTTTTTCGAGGACCTACGGTGCGATTCGTGTGATTTTATGATGCGCGGTGGTAAAATTCTTAAAAACCCAATGGTTTTTGGAGATTTCGGCGTGCGCGCGCGAAGAAAAAACGAATGTGTCCCGCATGGTATTATTTGACAGGGATGATGGCCCTGGCAGGTGCGCAACCGTTGTCGCAGAAGTTTGAAAAAGTTGCTCGCAAAAGCCCGTTTGACAAAATTGTTTAAAAAGTGATGGTTTTCCTACGAATCCGCAAGAGCGCGCGGGATGAGATTTTGACAATTTTTTATTTAAAAAACCATTGGGTTTTTGATGTTTTTATGTTGAAATCGTTCCGAAACCTAAGGTTTTGGAAGGATTTCGTCTTGCACGCGCGAATGTCCACTTTAGCTTATTTTTTGCAAGGGATTCTTGAAATTGGATTACATTTGAACAAGAAATTTCATTTTATAGTGTTTTTTGCAAGGGAAAACGGGGGGGAACAAAACAACCGGATCCGGTACTAATCCACTTTTCTGAAGCTTTCGCGAAAAAATGATGAAAATGTAGCTGCGGCCTAGGTTTTGGAGGGGGGTCGTGTACCAGGGGTCCCAACAATAATTATTCTTTAGAAGTAATAATGTTCAACAACAACAACAACAACAACAACAAAAACAAAAACAAAAACAAACAACAAAACAAACACTAAA